AATCAAAATTTGTTAAAAAGTTATAAGTTAGTAGATAGAATATAACTCCAGGATGGCAATCTGCACACTATTCAAGTAATGTCCAGGGATGAGATGTTATATTTAAAGGAGAAACTTCAGACCTTGGAATCACATGTGTAGAAAGAGGACCAGAGGCTATGCATCTCAATGAAATCACTAGAAAGATATACAGGCCAAGAGATTCAGGCTTTATAAAAGACAACAGTAAAAAGATTTGAAATATCTCTGAACATGGCAAACAATGAGGGCTGATGAGAATCCAAGGACAATGGCACGGGGTTTTGATCCTATTCATGTTCTGGCTTTGTGGGAGCCTAGCCAGTTTGGATGTTCACCTTCCTAGACATGGATGGAGGGGGAAGGACCTTGGACTTTCCACAGGGCAGGGAACCCTGACTGCTCTTTGGACTGGAGAGGGAGGGGGAGAGGAGTGGGGGGAGAGGGAGAAGGGTGGGAGGAGGGGGATGGAAATGGGTGGCTGGGAGGAGGCAGAAACTTTTTTTTCCTTTTTCTCAATTAAAAAAAGATTTGAAATAAATGAAGAAATTATTATAGCCGATGAACAGGGAAAGAAGGCACAAGGATAGGATTCAACATTGCCAGTAGCTGTCAGAGATAACTTACCCAGGGCTTTAGCTTCCTACCCTGTAATCTACTCTGAAAAACATCAACTCCTAAAGGCTCAAAAGGATCTAAAGAAGGTAGATATACACCTATAAGAATGAATGATCTAAAAGAAATAAAGAAGCTGTTGTAACTTGTGTTTTGCATTATGCATTTGTTAGTAAGATGATAAAGACATGGTCTTCTAGCATTTAGGGATTGATTATAATTGGTATAGGGTTGGAGGTTGGGAGGAAATTTTGTAGGCTCAGGGATATGTTTGAAAAAAGGGGGAAATTGGATGGGATAATAGATTAGTATGAGCTTGCTCACACTAATAATAATAGTGAATATTAGAGTGAATACTTGTGAGTTATTATTTATAGGCAATTACATTGGTATAGATTTTTATATATTGATATGTATTTATCATATCACAATGTACATATCTACCTCTGACATTTTAAGGTCATTATCCTCATTTTTTGCCCAGTTGTTTGTTGTATAATATTCTAATATGAAGTCTTAGTCTTTAAGTTATATAGGTATTAAGAATTACTGTAGTTACGTTGCTCTCATGACTTTGCCAAGTTAATAATTATATAAGAATTAAACTAGAGTGCTGTGGAGTTCCATCTCAACAGGTGAGTGTGTGCTATCTGGGGCGTCCTGTCCCGGAAGAGAGCACAATCCCCCTCCCCCAGCTCCTGAGCTGGGGTGTCTTCATTATACAGGAACCAGCCCACCTCCACCAAGCCTGCCCTGTTGTCTGCAAGGTCCTTGGCTCAGGAACAGTTTCTGGCTCCTGCACTAAAGCTACCCTCCCAGAGGGGTGAGTGCTTGCCTGCCTGCCAGGCCTGAAGGTCCCCACAAGGGAGCGCGGGCACCTTCAGCTTGTGCTGCAGGGTCACCTGTGTTCTACTCGACCCCGCCCTGCTCCCCATGTAAGCCCTTTGTCCCCAGTGCCATCCAGCTACCAGACATCCCTGTTTCAGTGCTTAGGAGTTCCATCTGGAAGGAGGGGGATACCAGACATCCCTGTTTCAGTGCTGAGGAGTACCGTCCAGACAGGAACAGTACCTGCTTCTACACTGAGGAGATCCACCCAGAGAGTTAGTCACAGCAAAGACTGGATCAAGACACCAGGCCTCTCCTGGCTCCATTTGAAAGAAGAGATGGGCAGGCACCAATGCAAGAATTCCTCCAACAACCTGAAAGGCAACATGACATCACCAGAATCCAGGGATCCTGAAACAAGAAGAATTGAACACCCTAATCAAGAAGAAATAGAAGAAATCGATTTTAATAGAACTATATGAAAATAAAAGAGGATCTTAAACAGGAGATAGAAAACTGCCATAAAGAAATAGAGATTTAAAGGGGAACTTATAAAATTCCCTTGGTCAGAGGAGTCAGGATACCTATACAAACAACCTTATCTTTAATGTCTGCAACACTAGTAATATATAATAGCCATGGAGTTGGTCAAATAAAAAAGCAACTCCCACTAAAAATAGTTGTATTCATCCTACAGAACCCAAAAGATAGGAGTGCCATTCAAAAGTGTCCACAAGCACGTTGCCGCTGAAAGATTCCTTCCATCCTAAAAGAGAAACTAGAGAAAAGACACGATTCCCTCAGGGATGGAGTATATGAGGAAGTGTAGGTGAAACAAACCCATTCCTCCCCAACCTGCTTTTGGTCACTGTGTTTTATCATAGCAATAAAAACTAAGACAGGAAGAAACTTTTCCCAAACTCACTTAACCTGATGGATAGGAGGATGTAGGGACTTTTTGTTTTTTTCTTTTTTGTTGTTTTGTTTCTTTATGGCTATTGACAAGAAACATCAGTTCCTCACCATACGGGGTTCTCTTTGGAGTGACTCCAGCTCATAACATAGCAGTTAACTTTTTTCAGTGTGAGTAAAGGAAAGAGCGAAACAGAGAGAGATGATAAAAGAGGAAGGAAAGAAGGAGAGAGACAGTCTAGGGTTCAGAGTGGAGTACTTGTATACCTGTTAAAAATCATGGTACTATTTGACATGAAATCCCTTTACACTTTCTTTTGTCTTACTCTGTTAATTAGAAGCAGATTGTTAGGTCCAACTCATAGTCAAGAGGAAGAGATTAAGAACTGAATACCAAGAGATACAAAACACTAAGAGATGTCTCAGTAGGTTCCTACTGCAGGGCTCATATTTTAAAGTAAAATATGTGTCATAGTTAATTTATTAAATTGGATGAAATTGAATAATGTGTGCTATTAAGAGCATGTAAAACAAATATAATTTTTGTCAAGTACATTTAAATATGATGTTCCAGTGTGTTTTGTTTGAAGGATGAATGTTTATAGAAATGTCAAACACAATTTGTATGTGATATAATACAAT